ATACGAAATGATTTAAAATATATTCACACACAGATATATAATACAATATAGCTCCAAGAGCCTATACTTTTATTATTATAATTATTACGAATATTATAATTATACATCTTTATGATGTACATTTTTATGATGTATATCTCTGATATATTACGTTTGTATGAATATAAATATCAAAAAAAAAAAAAACTTGCAAAAAAAAAATGTCTGTTTTTCAAAAAAAATCGTACGATGGTCTACGAAGTTGATTTTCCCAAAACACCTATTGCATGTCAGGATATTATCAACTATTTTCATAACGGAATTATATCCACCTCAATAAAACCCAAAAATCACTAGAATTTCAAGCGTAAAATGAAACTATGGTGCTTAGAGAATAATAATCTTTATGTTCAAATTAACGGTCAGCTGCTTTGATTTTTCGTTCCTGTATGAAACATGGAATTTTGTCTATCACTATTTGGACAATTTCATAATAATAATCGCCACATTAATGCCAAGGATTGTCACAAAAAAATTAGTGTATATCATATTGGTATAACGAAGAAAGAAGTTTATAAGTATGTTCACAATTGTAATACATACAACTGACTGTTATTGATAAAGGAAAAGGACGACATAACCTCCGTTGTAAGCTATGGGCCAATAGAATATCTCCAGATAGATCTTGTTGATTTCACAGCTTACAAAGATATGAACGATGGGTTTTCTTGGCTCCTTACCATCATTTGTATTTTTTTTAAGTTTTTGTAGGCTATTCTACTAAAGACCAAGGAAGCAGATAGAGTCGGAAAAGCCTTAGTAACTCTATTCGCATAGTGGGGTGCACCATCCATTTTACAATCTGATAACGGCAAAGAATTTACTGCTAATGTTATTAAATATATCTGTGAAGCTCTTGAAATTATAGTTAGACATGGTTGTCCATAATATCTGATATCGCAGAGACAAGTTGAATGCTTAAACCAGACAGTTAGTCGTAGTTTTACGAAAATGTTATAGAATGATGAACTCTAATTACAGGATGTTAATTGGAAAGATCACTTACCAAAATTTGTTTTTTTCTATAATACTACCCAACACAGTGCCCATAGCAAAACCTCCCGTGAAGTGATGTTCAGATACAAGCTTCTTGGAGTATATCAACAATTCAATCCCAACAATCCCATCGAATTGCAGAAAATAGAGGTTCAGAAAATGCAAGTAACACCTCAAACTATAGACAATCATCTAAAGAAGATCTCGGTGATTCATAATGAAGTTAACAACCAACTTGAAAAATCAAGAAAGTACATGCTTAAGCATTCGAGTGTACACTGCCACAAAAATCTTTATAAGCCTGGACAATCAGTTGCAATTGCTTCTGATACAGATATGAATCCAACAACCAGGAAATATAAACTTCAAACTACATTTAAAGAAACTGGAACGGTAGTTAGCATGATGAACAACAACAAGACCATTGTTGTCGAAACATCTGAAGGAAATACTGTTCGTTGTTCTGTAAAGAGAGTTCAGCAGATTAAAAAAAAATAAAAGTTTTTTTTTTTTTTTTTTTATATCTAACTTAACTTTCTGCCTTTAGCAGTTCGTATTCTTAACAAAGACCTTTTTCTGCTATTTTTCCTCTTTCATAAGTGTTTTTCTCTATTTTATCTCTGTAAAATTTACTTCAAGTTTTGTTTTTCGTTATATCAAAACTCTTTTTCAATGTATCACTCTTTTTTTTAATGTATCACTCTTTTTGATATATTTGATTTTTTTTTGAGTTGTACATATTTAAGGTTTAATTTTGAGGGTGCAAATTTGTAGGTTAGATATAGTTTTGGGGATGGGTTTACTGCATGTAATCTAAGGGATTCTCCTCATGTTCGTTCTAACAATACAT